GCTAAATAAGGGACTGCTAGTGCAGATAGCCCTCATGTAGCTTTGCGCGATATTCAAAACACGCCAAACTAAACCAAACTTCATGTAAGATTATAGTATTTATTCTTTGTTCTGTATATGTTGATCTTGTTCCTGTGTTGTTCTTGAAAGTAGATAATACCTGTACCGCACAGAGAGAACATTGCTTAATAAACCCTTTGTGTAAAGATGTCAACATAAATGTCCTTCAGTATTGTTCAAGTGATGTTGAATTGAAAATGACCAGTTATATAAGTAGTGCATGTCTCTCTGGGAAAATTCGAAGTTTCTTGTGAACTTAGAGACTTGGCATTTAAATAGTCTAATATAGGGTGATTACAAAAATGTTTACACTTATATGGGATTTTCTGTTCCTGACTATCTGGACAGGATTTTTCCCAGCATTGGAAGAGGTGGTCCTCTGAGATAGCCTGCCCCTTCACCAGATTTATCACCGTGTGATTTTTGGCTGTGGGGTATGGTTTGTTTGTTTGTTTTGAATTTCGCGCAAAGCTACACAAGGGCTGTTTGCGCTAGCCGTTCCTAATTTAGCAGTGTAAGACTAGAGGGAAGGCAGCTAGTCATTACCACTCATCACCAAACTCTTGGGCTACTCTTTTACCAACGAATAGCGGGATTGACCGTCAGTTTATAACGCCCCCACGACTGAAAGGGCGAGCATGTTTGGTGGGACGGTGTGGCGTATGGTTAAAGAACGTGTGTATGCCACAAAGCCACAGGACGTACATAATCTCCGGGAAAGAATTACAGAAGTCATACAATCAATACCACCTGGGATGTGCTCTAGAGCTCTGCGTGCAACGTTTGACCGATTTCAGACATACGTACATAGATATTTGTGAAGAGCAAGTTGAGACTGTATAAAACATAATAAATAAAAATATATAAACCCATACAAGTGTTAACATATCCTGGAATCATGATTTCAGTTTGAATGGTCGGAAGAGAAGAGCCAGTAAAAGCAATCGTTCAGTGTAAGTAAACAACAAGTTCACACACTGTATTTGTGTGTCATTGTGATAATAAATGTTGAGCATTTTGTTATATACTTCATGTCCAGTGTCTTTATTTCAATAAACATCGAATCAGTCAGTAAGTGGTGTAGTTGTACTCCATAATCAATATCTTGATCGAATCTCCGTTTATCCAGCGGATCTATCTAATTTTAAAGTAGAGCTTTTATTTATTTTTTCACACAAATATGTGAATCTCCTTGCTGTTCGTGTTTTATTTATTTTATTGCAAAACACTTTGTGAATCGTCTGTTTATTGCGGATTACTGATAGTTTATTTGTCAAAAACCTGTATAAATTAATACCACACGGTTACAAGAAACTATTACCTTAAGTAAGATAATAAGTATGACAAACGCACAGCTGAATAGAACATTCATTACCATTAACCTCTACTAACATCTGCGTGAAAACAAAACTTCTTAAAAGTGTTAGGGCAATAAGACAACACAGTGCATTAGAAACAAACAGACCATTAGTAATTAATATGCTTCACTGTAATAATGTGATGTTTCTTGAGAAATAAGGAATGTTCGATTTGAATACTCTGGTACAAGATCTTGAAAAGTAAATAGTCCAAAGCAAATACCTTGCGTTTATGTTTAAGGCTATAATTATAAAACATGTTAATTTGGTATTTTGCTTTGTGTACAGTCTCTGTTTTATTTTCACGACTTAGTTATTCGGAGATTCGGTATTATTTTTGTAATAAATATCTTGACCGAACCTTTGTTATTCTTCTGTGGATCTATCCTGGCACTTTTAAATAAAAACAGTTTGACCTGAATATACCACAACTATAGTCATATTTGCTGATGTTTATAGAATGACAAATCGGCTTTACATACATATTTAACGTCACGTTTTATTTGTGTTTGTATTTTATTATTGTTTCTATATATATATATTATATATGAGGGTATGTATTTGCCAATACCTCCGCCATCGAAGGTGGACAGAGGTTATGTTTCCACCCCTATGTGAGTGTGTTTATTTGTGTGTTTGTCAGCAAGCTTTCTCGAAGACGGCTGTATGAATTTGGGCGAAAGTTGGTATACATTTGTACTATGACCCAACTTAGAAGTAATTAGTTTTTGGAGGGTCAACATCACAGCAAGGTAAAAAAATCTCTATCTGTTAACATAGGGACCGATTTTTCACAATATTTTTCTCTATAACTCAGTCAAAAATCATTGGATTTTGATGAATTTTGGTAGATCTATGTAGAATATTATTCCTCATTGTCCTGCCGAATATGATCAGTGTTGCTTGTCGGAGGTAGCTCTCTGAGTGCCCTTCTAGTTAATTCTGCATCTATTTGTGTGGGTGTATTTTCTTATTGATACTCTATCTACTTGTGTGCGTGTTTATACTTCTTTATTGCTTCTGGGCCCATTTCGTATGGATGTTGAGTTTTCCCTATTGTTTTTGCAAGTGTGGTGGATTATTAAAATGTGTCACAATTTCAATTATCTATGCTTAACAGTTCTCACGTCGATTGAAGTTCTCTGCTTTTTCTTTATACTGTAAAAGTTAACACAACTTATTATTTATTTAAGATCATCTACTGGATGTTTGTCCATTTTATGTGTATTATAATACTTCATAAGTGGAAAAGTGTCATGTCAAGGATTTGTAAAACACGAATCCAGATTTCTTATATTCATATTTAGACTTCCCTAGTCCCAGTTAGCCAAACAACTTGTTATTACAACATAGACAACAGCAATAGGAGTTCAGATGGAACAAATATATTCGTGTTTACAATACTCCTATAATTTGTATATACCCACTATAATATCACCAAAATAATCACACTTTCTCGTTAACTTCTTGAGAGTGGCATTCTCTTAGTTGTAGCTTATACTTAACAAAAGCACTCAATATCCAGTAATGATGGCCGCTAATAAAGTAACAACAATTCTGCTTCGTAAATAAAGTTAGATGCCAAAAGAATCAAAATAGAGCAGGCGACTTCTTAAGAAATTCCGCCTTACGCAAACTAAATAATGACTAAATAGTCAAAAGAACAAAACAATTAATAAAAGTAATTTCTCTTTAAACATGGCCTAGTGAATATGTTGTTGTTGGGCTGTGGATCGAAGATCCTCAAATAAGGGACTTAAAGCCGCTTACCAGTCTCCTCACTTTCAGCTGTGGCCAGTCATAAATGTGAATGCCTTTCCTTTGGTTAGTTATTTAAATAAGACAGTTATATCCATATTATAGCTGGAACAGCTATTACCTTCACTCAATTAGTGTAGAATATGTCTTTATTTTGGTATATTCACGTATTTTCTGTCTAATTTTTTGTAATTTCTGCACTTCTGTGTTGACTGGATGTCTCAAAATCATAAGCGTGATAATCCTTTTTTTACAAGTAAAGATTATATACTGCAGCCTTTGTTTGTAAGTCTCAAGCTAGCATGTGTGTGTTTTCATAAAGATTTCGAGGAAGTCAGCCTATTCAAACAGGTACTACATGCCATAATTAGCATATTTATACACGTACTTCGGTTTCTCAGAAACTTCATGTATACTTCGTGGTTTATTCTCCTGAAGATGGTGGAATTATTTCAACTTAAACATGTAGAGTTTATAAAGTTTATTAACTTATATCTTTTTAAACTTTACAAATAAATTATTGTGCAAGTAAAAAAACATTGATGTCTCGTTTGATTAGTTGTATTTAAAAATTTTTGCACAAGAACTGTCTGTTTTACGTATTGAATAAGCTACAAATAGGAAAATTATTCATTGTATTGATCGTCTCAGTTTGCTGTCAGATTTTACAAGCAAACTACATTTACTAGCCGTTGGGTTTCCGAGCTTCAGTGAGAATGTTCTTTTCCTTTATGAAAAATAGCTTCTGATAACCACATGGAAAAGCGTGAAAAGTATTACCTCAAGGTCAAATACGGCAGTTGAGCCAAATGGTCAGTAGCAGGCTATTTGTGACGCTCTTCAGTTTATTTGTCATCACATAGGAACAGAAGCAGGACGTGAATGTTTAGCAATCTCTTACGACTGACAGATTCCCAGTTAGACCCCCCCAGTAGCACAGCAATGTGTCTGTGGACTTACAACGCTAGAAAACGGATTTCGATACCCGTGGTGGGCAGTGCACAGACAGCCCATTGTGTAGCTTCGTGCTTAACTTCAACCAACCAAGATAGACATGAAAAGAAACAGCATCTGTATGTCTAGTAATTTATTGCGACCGTTTGTTTGTTTTTGAAATTCGCGCAAAGCTGTTCCTAATTTTGTAGTGCAAGACTAGAGGGAAGGCAGCTAGTCATCACCACCCACCGCCAACTCTTGGGCTACTCTTTTATCAACGAATAGTGGGATTGACCGTAACAATATAACGCCCCCACGGCTGAAACGGCGAGCATATTTTGGTGTGACGGGGATTCGAACCCGCGACCCTCAGATTGCGAGTCGAGTGCCTTAACCACCTGGCCATGCCAGGCCATTGATACACTGAACCAGGAGTATCACAGTCTTGGTATTTCTTTAATATGAATTGCCCTAATTTTCTGTCAAATAAAAATAAACACAAATTGTAAAGACAAATTAATTTAAAATGTTTAAGCAATTTTTTCAAAGTATATCTATTTGAATGTGATACCTTTGGAGTAAAAGGAATTCTACAATAAAAAGTACGTTCATCTTTACTCTTAGGTTCTGATTAATGAAAACGGTAAATATGGTTCAAACAGTGGCCATGAGACCTTCACATTGATTTTTCAAAATGTTTTAGTATTATCCTCCTTTGTTCCTTTTTTTAGTAATATAGTCCATCATTTTGAAAGAAATTGACTTGAGAATTACGTGGTTGATGTATTGGGCTAGAACCATTACGAAGCTGAAATTGAATCTAAAAATACTGCATCTTATGTAGAGTACGTGTATGTGATGTCCTGACATTTTCTTTCTCTTTGTCAGCTGATACAGAACTTCTTCAAGACACCTTAGTGTGCGGTGTTTGTCAAAAGCATTTTGCCTTGTCCGACATTTTGGAATTTATCCAACACAAAGTTGAAAATTGTAATAAGGAAAATTGTTTGCCATTCGACGAAGGCAACGATGACGACACATATATTTTGCCGACTGGAAGACCTAGATGGGTTGGAAACAGAAGTACGCCTCTTTCCTACAAGCTGGATGACACAGTTAGGTCTTTCTCGACTTCTTCTGAAGGACTTCATTTTGAAGAAGAACGATCAATAGACTCGTCACCATGTCAAATGAAAGTAAGAAAACGGGTGCATTCTATGGATGCGTTATGTCCAGAGGAATCCATCAAAATAAGGAAAGACGGTGAAAAAGAACCCAAAGGTAGGTAACACTAGTCTGTTTGTCTACAATGTAAAATCGATTTTTGTATCTTCAAAAATATTACTGAATGTATATGTGTGTTTTTTTCTCCTAGCTCCAGATTTGAAATTCGAATATGTATGAGGAATGAACATTTTAGTTTCTCTTTAAAATATTGTTGTATGAAATAATAATCAAGCAAAAGATATACATTATTATTTAACAATTTTAAACAAATATATTTTCTTCTTCGCCCTTTATCAGTATTTCTTAACATTTGCTAATGTATGTAAATAGATGGGTGAATAGTTAGATGAACTGAAGGTAAAGCCAACTGGTACCATGTAACTCAAATACTGCACTATACAGTAAGACACTCCCTCATACAACTATAACAAAAGGTATACCTGATTAGATATATTCATCGATTTGTGTTGCTTTTGTACTTCAAACTAGAGATTTTGAAATGATGGCATCAGTCAAAATCCATTTTTAAATAAGATTTACCAAATTAGCAGTACGTCAGTTTTTGCAAAGGAGCAATTACAGCATGGCAGGCACGTGCTCAGAGAACTTCAGTCCTTATTAAGTAAATTATATAAAATCTCGCATAATCAATACACGAATCGTTTTATAATATTTACAGACCTTTCCAAAATAATTGTATTCAGATTTTTTGCATCCCATTAGTTTAACAATTCAGGCATGGTGCATCCCCATAAAATGTTCAGTTTGATGATTTAGTATACTTAGTATATTCTTGTTATTTTCAGTATATTCTTGTCTAAGCGTTTTATGATTTGGATAAAGGAGTCTCTTACCTTGTTGTTTTGAGGTGAAATTTTAATATTTTGGATATTACTTCTTCGTTTTATGATGGCATTTTAATAATTAAAGGACTACCTCATTATTAAAAGACTGCCTTATTATTATGAGATGACACTTACATATTTAATATTTTACATTGTTGCTTTAGGATGATTTTTTATGCAAAACTTTCTGGTTTAAGTTATAACCTTTGTTAAGAAAATAGCTCTAAAAATATTGGCTGTTTAAAAAATGTAATTTTTTTTAAAACGTAAATCATTTCAAAACTGGAAAAAATCATTTTTTCTTCTTCTTCAGAACCAAGCAGCTATATCTGTTCCACCTGTATGCAGTCTTTTGCTTCAGCCTGGATTCTGTTACAGCATGTGCAGCACATTCATGATATGAAGATTTATTTGGACACAGACAGCATCAAGGAAAGTAATCTAGATAATGTTAAATCGATCTCCTTCTGTCTAGAACAGACTGACACATCTCTCACTTCCAGTACTTTACCTGAAGAAAACTTGGTATCTGGGGAAGACAGGTTGATTCACCCAGTTATGCAAGTGCTGAGTATTCCCCTTGGTGAACAAGAACCAAAAGTTTCACTTAGCAGTAACTATTCCCTTCATTCATGTAGTCAAGGAACCAGGCTGGATATTACTGAGGATACTTACCAAAAGCCGAACCCAAACAGCACCTCAAATCTTGGCTTGCCTCTCTCAAGTTATACCTTTAATAAAAGTCACTCTTGTCACTCTCAAGTTGGTTCTATAGGTCTAAAACAGGCTGCCACAAATCTAATGTCCAGTACTTTAATTAAACAAAACTCGGTATCTGGTGGAGGCAAGACAATTTACCCAACTCTGCAGCTACTGCAATTTCCCTTTGGTAAAAATCAGCTGCACAGTTCACTTAACAGAAAAATTTCTCCTCATCTGTCTAGTCAAGGATCCAAGCTGAATATTCGTGGAGATACTTATCAAAGGCTAAACTCGAACAACACTTTAACCTTTGGCTTGCCACTTGCACATAGTACCCTTGGTAAAAGTTACTCTGATCGTTCTGGAGGGGCTTCTATAGGGCTTGGTCTGGATCATCAAAATGACTTTTATTCAAAGAGACTGCGTCAATTGGCAGGAGCTATGTGTACTACCAGTACACCCCCAGTTAAACCAACAAACTTATTTTTTCAACAACTGGACTCTACCTCTACTAGTCAGTCAGTAACGCTTCATCTGGGAAATGCCATGGCTACTACACCAAACCAAAAAGAAAATAACCAGCCAGAATCAACTGTGTTTCATTTATGTGAGTTTTGTGGAAGATCTTTTAAGTTTCATGAAGGCCTAATGGCTCATCTCAAATTACATACCTATGAAAATATCTACAAGTGTCACATTTGTAACCAGGCCTATTCACAAGACAGTAATCTAAAACGGCATTTAAAAATACATCAACAACATGGAACAGAATCAGAGGTATTAAGTGTTCATTCAGAAAGGTCTACTCCTGATGCTAACCAGAATAATGAAGGAAAGATCAAACTGGAGAGAGAGGAAGGTGACCTGGAAGAAAAAGCAGAGGAAAAGTTTGAAAAACATGTTCCTGAAAATATCTCAACTTTTATTGAGTGAAGTTTTTCATCAGAAAAAACTTCACTGAGTGAAACATTAGAAAAAACTTCAACTAGTGAAACATTAGAAAAAATTTCACCTAGTGAAACATTAGAAAAAACTTTACTAGTGAGACATTAGACAAAACTTCACCTAGTGAAACCTTAGAACCTCCATGTCAGCTAGAAGTAACAGAAAGTTTTGAACAATCACATCTACCAAGAAAGTCATTTTTGTGGGAGATCTTAGAGAAAATTGAACTAGGCCAAATTCGTCAATATCACGAGGCTTATAAACAAACCTTGGCATTAAAAAATTCTGCAAATGCTCAAACGAAAGATGATGTGGCACCCTCCAAAGCTTTTAACGAATTTTCCACTCAAAATTCAGACACATTGCCTAAAAATGGATTACACCTCTTTGAGTATCCAAAACATAATGAAATGATTGGCCAACCACCAGTATACTTTGGAAACAGTTTTCACAGAGCTATGGACTCTAGCAAACATTCTGAACTTTATCTTGGCGACCATCAAAATGAAAGGAATAGTCTCTATGCAGGCTTGTGGTTGCCATATCCTCAAGATTACGAGTGTGAAGGAGATGAGTCCACTAGTGACCAAATGTCAGTCGGTGAAAGTGCCTTAATGGTTATCACCACTGATAGGTTGAACAGCTCGTCTAGTTCCTTCCCTGGAACCAGCACACCTACTACAATGACAACTCTAAATCAGAAAGAACAACAGCGGATCAGTACCTGTGAATTCTGCGGAAAAATATTTAAGAACGTTGGCAATCTAACAGTACACAGGCGGTCCCACACGGGTGAAAAACCATATAAATGTGGAATCTGTAGTTATGCATGTGCTCAGAGTTCCAAGTTAACCCGTCATATGAAGACTCACAGTTGGTTTGGCAGAAATGTGTATCGTTGCCCTATATGCGAAATGCCTTTTTCAGTGACAAGTACATTGGAGAAACACATGAAAAAGTGTGTAATAGATCATGACTCGGAGTTAGTAAACAAGCATAAAGATTTCTTAACTAGCAAAATGAGCAAACAGTTAAGTTTAACTACCAAGTCACCTGTTAAGGATTCGGACTCGAGAGAAACGTCTTAAAATTTTAAAACGTTTAGTTGAGTATCATAATTACTGGTGTTTGTACATTGTTTTGAATAAAAAGTAGTCAGATATATACATGACTATTTAAATGTGCTTTAAGTCTAACAGGTTTTATATACTTCTTTGTGATTCGATGTTTTACATCGTGTTAGCAGATAAAAAATTGATTGTTGAATTTTATAGTATATATATATTTTGCTCTTCTCTAAGATATATTTTTTATTATAAAGAACTGTTAACCCAGGAAATATGTACATATGTTTCCTTGTGTTATGTAATATAAAACGTTCAATCACATTTGTATTAAGAAAAAACGAACGGTAAATAAAGAACGTCCTGATGAGGATAGCTGCTGTTATGATTTTTAAGTTAAAAAATAGGAAGGATTTAGACTAGACAAAAACCTTCATCACTTTTTTATGTATTGAAACCGTGTTTGTTTCTTCAATATTTTAATAAGCGTGAACACTGTGTTGGTTAGAAGTATACTAAAAGATCAGGGTTAATCAACCCACTGGTTGCAAGATAGGTAACTAAAAAAATAGCTTAAACCGTCACGATAGATGGAACATATAGATATCACAGAGAGCTGTGTTCCCCTGTGTTCACTCAATTTTTGTGGCCTGTAGTTTCTTTTCTTGAATATGCATAAAACATTTAAAGAGAAGTTAGTATGGTTGGCAACAAGCTTACCTGGGCTTTGAACACACTTCAGGTATTATAAACAAGTTTTGTATTGTTTCTTAGTATAGATCAAACAACACCGTATAAGTCTTTGTCCCATTGAATCATGGTTCTAATATCTCACTGTGAATCACGAACAGTATTATGTGTTTATACATAAGTTACATTCATCCTTTAATCGAATACGAATGTTCGACCTCAAAACCAATCGAACAAACAACGAGAAATTCAAGCTGTCGGGCTAACTCTGGGATTTACTGCTTACTCATCTATTTCTGTATTCAAACACAAACGTGACCACTGATAAAGATCGCCTCACTAAACTTGGCAAACATTTTTTGTATAGTATTATTTCATATCTCTTGTTCCAAGGATGATATTTAATATCTAACTACATAACTTCGCGGTCATATCTCTTAACTACCTTAAAGCTACTTTTTGTAACAAATGCTTGCTGTGAGCACCAGCATAACTAGACACTAAATAATGGTACTGAGAAGAGGTAAAAGTCCATCCTTCTCGCCCCTTAACAATGCACCCTAAAAGGCAACACAGATATAGACATATAAAATTTAAAAATACTTAGTTTTAACGAAAACTTTAATATTGTTGAATTAACTGTGAACTTTAACGTTGTTTGCACTACATTAAAACTTCTACCTCCCTCCCACATTGGACGATGACTTTACTTATTATTTAAAGTTTTAAATTCTCTCGCCAATCTACATCGGAATTATAATTTTCACACAAAGTTGCTAGGTCAACATTTAAGGCTACAGAAACATCGTCATTCGCTAAAAAGGCAGTATTTAGCTTCCAGTGGTTGTGACCACCGTTGGTTTGAGAAATGATTGAACTCGCCAATACAGAGTACTGATCACTTACGTAACGATTCCGCGTGCCGATTAGACTAATCGAAATGTTGTGTGACTTATTTACAAGAAACCATCACACTACGACTCACAATTTAAATCACGGGTCATAATGATTTCATAGGGGTCAAATATGTACTGTTTCGAATATTTAAAGAATACAACACGTTCCTTTAATGTACTTGGGGCATATACATTCACAAAACCGGTGATAGTTCCATTGTATCCTAAATCAGTGAACATCGACGTCATGATTGATTCCTGGAAAATGTGGATTCATAATTAAACCTGCGTCTATAACGTGAGGTCCAGATAAGCTGTATAAGGAACGAACATTAAATATGTTACTGAAAACATGAATTTGTTCGAGCGGGTAGAAATAGCTTTCTTGTAGTAGAATATGATATACATTATGACGAATCATGAAATCCACAACAAAAATCCTATTTTTCTCCCATTGAGGAAACCCTGGGTATTCAGTGTACAAAAATGAAATGTCATTGATAAACAGATAATCTAAATGACTACTGAATGAGTAATGTATAAAAGTAAGCAGAAAATGATTACACCTTTTACCGTTTATGACATTTAATTTTATTCGTGATTTATTATTATTACTTCCGGTGTTTGAACGTTTCACCATCGTTTCTACTCTCATAAAGCTTTAGGTCAAAGTATCATAAGTCTAGGTCACACTGTGTGACCTAGATTTTATTTCTCGTTGTTTTGTGGTAACTACCTCACCCTCATTGTTTAGTTGTTTCTCCATGTCCTCGAAACGTGTATCGTCATTAGTGTTTGATTTGTCCACAATATCTGGGTCTTGAGTTACCACCATTTCTTCAAAGGCATTTGCTTTATTGACATCATTTATCTGAGCTGGATGTCTCAGTAATTGTAGTCACTTCAACAGGAATACGCACGGTTTTGTGGTCACCTTGGCTGGTGCTAGTGTCAACTGCTTCTACTTAATCAGTTATTTAGTTTTCAACTTCCTTACAAATAGAGTCAAGGTTTCCTTCACAAATATTTTCTTCTTCAACATTTTTAAGACTGTCGTCGTTGTGACAGACTGACGCAAACGTTTTCACTTTACAAGTGCGGAACAAGTGTCCTTCACCACAATTTGTTACAACCTGGGGTACAGGGGTTTGATTCCTGACCAACACCGTCACATCTATTACACAACATTTCACAATATACAGAGGCTAAATTGTCCAGCACTTTTACATCGTGCACACAAGTTTTACATTCGTGTATAATTTACCATTACTCGAAATTCACTACCGTTGACGAAGTTAGGAAGTGAGCGAGTCATGTCAATCATAACGCGTCTTGCACCAGTGCAACTTCTAACTTCAGCACGTACTACGCTGGGAACTTTCCCGTATTGTACTTGATGTTACTTCCAGCAGGTGTTAAAGCATAGTTTTGGTCCTCTACGCGAACCAGCCTAAACCCAAAGCAGTTAGACGGAAATGAACGTAGCGACTTTCTAAACCATGTATTTTGTAAAACCTGCACATGTACAGAATAATGGATAAATTCAGAATAAATACTGTTATAACACAAAAAGATATGTGCATATCAACACACACATTGTGAATGTTACAATGAATATGATATATGAACAGTATTAATTTATCCTTTATTCTGCATATGTGCAGGTTTTACAAAACACGTGGTCGAGAAAGCCGCTACATTCATTTTCGTCTAACTGCTTTTTTCCTTTGTCATTCTCTCAGCATTAATATCTGTTCTGTCCTCGAGAATGTTTGTGCTGCACGCCTTCAAGAATGTGTCAGCAGTCATTCAATGGTAGTCCAGGTGGAAGCTCGAAATTATTGCTTCCCCGATGCTAGAATGTGAATGACTAGTCACGTGTGATTAAATAACTCTTAAATATTAGCAACTACTAATATCTGTTTCTTTGTGTACTTAGTTCTTAGCCTTTAATGACAGTTTTGGTGTGGCCTAGTGGTTAGCATATAAAATGGCGATGAAAATGCTTTGCACTTTTAGTTGAGGCAGTGTTATAATTGTGACACTATCCCATTATACTGTTGCGTCAGCGAGATCACGTGACTAGTATCACGCCACTCCTTCTCTCGAACAACAAAATAAACAAGAGAGATTACAGCAGTTGTTGGAGGGGAAAAGAAAAGAAACAAGAAGAAAGATTACAGCAGTGGCAACTGGAACAAGAAAGGAAACAGGAAGAAAATCAGCAGCAACTACAGGAAAATCAACAACAATGGCAAGAGGTACAAATGGAAAACATTAGTAAATTTAAAAGCGAATTAGATACGTTAAAGGACGATCTATTGTCTTTTACACAAGGAGGATACATTGACCATCAACTTAATCAGCCCCAGACAATGGCAAGCCCCTTACAGAGCCCGCAGCTATACCCTAATGCAGACATATTCAGTCCCGTTAGAAGTCACATCCCAGATATGAATGTCAGTAATAGGAGTGATCCAGTACGAAGGAAGCCACAGGAATTCGATGGGAAGGCACCGTGGGAAGCATATAGAGCACAATTTGAGTTACTGGCAGAGATGAATGGATGGACAGAGGAGCAGAAAGCTGTATATCTGGCAACGAGTTGACATCAGCCGACAGACACAACTATAGAGCACTGGTAGAGGCTCTAGAACTCTAACCCAAAATCAGTCTGAAGTCAACAGG